AGCAGCTCAGGATGCATTAATTAACAACCTTTTAGCTCCCTGTAGTGGAGGGCAATTCCTGGGACAGGTTACCTTAGTAACAGGTTGAGCAGGGCAGATTCTTATTTTTTTTTTAAATCGTCATAAATGTATTTTGTATAATGATGACCATCACATCAGGGGCAGGTTCTTGATAAGGGTGGAGGAAGGGCTCCGAAGGAATTAACATTTCAATCCCTCAGGGGGCAGCCTCCAACTTCCCGGACTCATTCAAAATTGATCCAACCTGACTCGATTTACCTACCTRTACTGGCTGCCTGTCTAATTCTGGATTCACCGATTCAATCTCTTTTCTGCACAGCCTTCCCCTGGGCCCGCACTCCAAGACCTCTGCTGAGCTCTTTTGGGAATGCCCCTTCACCAGCTCTGCAGAATCCCGTGGGTTAGCAATTATTGATCCCTGTGGTCTCCATTGCCTGGAGGCTGTGGGCACAATCACATAAGCCAGCATGCTGGCAGTGAGGCGGATGTATGGTCAATAGACCAATTGCTGAATGAACAAAGGAACAGTGTCATTTCCTCTGAACTGTGAGCTGACCCAGAGCAGGGAGGGCAGCTACATTCCTCACTCTTTCCAAAACAAACCCAGGCAAACTGGACAGAGAAGCCTCCCAAACTCTCCCGCTGTACCAGGCAGGTGTCTGGAGGTGGTGAAATCATGCAGCAGTCCTGCCTTTGATGTAGAACTGTCTCTTAACAGAGGTGTGACTTTGGGCATATTCTGTAACCTCTCTGATTTCCAGGGACTGTACTGTGAAGATCAGTCGGAACGTTGCCCTTAGACTCTGGCCCTGGTGTGTATTTAACATCCACTGGTTAAATACACTCACTGGTTAAACCACTCTCATGGTTCTTGGGTTTTTTTGGTACCGGGGATTGAACCCGGGGGCACTTGACCACTGAGTCACGTCCCGAGCCCCATTTTGTATTTTTTATTTAGAGACAGGGTCTCACTGGCTTAGCACCTCGCTTTTGCTGAGGCTGGCTTTGAACTCACGATCCTCCTGCCTCAGCCTCCTGGGATTACAGGCGTGCACCACTACATGGCGCCACATGGTTCATTAGGAGTTTGCAGTAGGTCTCTTGGGACCCAGGGAACTCTTGCTAAGACCACTGTTGGGTGAGTGCAGTGTAAGGGCCTCAGGTCCCCTACCCACCCAACGCAATGGAGCCTCACACCAGCCAGCACAGAAAACATTGCTTTATTAACTGCGTTTGCCAACACATGAGGAGTGCAGAGGGCTCCGTAAGACACAGGCCCTGGTAGGGGCCGGGGTCTGGAACCCCCATGAGTGAGCAGGGCAGGATGGGGTTGGGAGCTATGCAGCAGCGGCAACACAGAATCATGCAGGGCACAGCGGGCATTGGCCACACCGAGGTGACCATACATTCTATTGCTCATTAAGGGTTGCGAACATGGACAATGTACAAAAAGGAGAAATAGGTCTTTGCGGTAATGAAAAATACATTTTTTTCTCTACAAAGGAATCTTTTCTAATACAAGAAAATAAATATTGCAACATAAGCCAAAAATAATTTAAAATTGCTCTTTTCAATATATTTTCAATATTTCTCTTGTATATTAACAAATGGCACATCACTTTCTTTGAAACAAAGACAGAAGGTGTCTCCTCCTGTGACATTCATATCACCCCCCCCACCGCCACCCCCCAAACGATTTGGAGCACACAGTGTGCATCTGAGGGAGAAAGCGGAAGGAAGTGCCTTAAAGAACAACCAAAGGTCCCAGACTCCAGCCCTGGCTCTTTGGCCAATGTGGCCAGCAGGGCCAGGGACATTGGAGAGTGGCCTCCCCAAGGGCCTTGCTACAGGAATCCAGATCATTCTGCAGAATTTTGAGTATGGCCAGAGGTTGGCCACATCTGGCAGTGAGCAAGGAAATGCCAAATCCAGCTGCTGCCAGGGTTTGTTAGCATCGGGCAGTTGAATCTCTAGGAATTGCCCCAGCAAGTCCCATGGTGCGACTCTCTGCAATGCACCCAGATGTGCATGTACGGAGACACAAGACATGCTCTGGCACACATGCACACCACTAAGGTCCAATGCCCACGTCTGGAAACCTGGGTGACTTCTCCAAAGAAGCTGAGTCCCTTACATTGCAAATACTCATATACCGTCACAAAATCAGAGCTCATTTAAGAAAGTAAATGAGCATTCTACCTTTCTTCTCCTTATTTGTTTCAAAATACATTTATAATACATAAAAATACTTTCCTTGCACATTATCCTTTGTCACATAATGAGAGGGAAGGAGGTGGAAGGCAGCGGGACTGTGAGAATGGGGGACTATATAGCCAGAATGAGTTTACGGAGCAGCTTCTGCCTCCCTGAGGAGGAGCTATGAATGTGGGCAGACGTGGTCAAGAAAAAGATCTGCCTCTGGTCTGGAAAAGGAACCTTCTTGGTCTCAGAGGGCAACACAGCCCTGTCCATTGTGGATAGTGGGTTAGAAAGAATGAATGAAGGGGCTGTGGCTAATGGGGAAAACTGGGAGCCACTGGGAGTAGGAGGGAGGAGAGACTGGCATCTTTGTCCTCCCTGGAGCCTGGTGGACATCCTGGAGGTGGAGTCAGCTGCCTGGTAAAGACTGCTCTAGGGCCTGGCCTGGGAGCGACTGGCCCAGAGACTCTGGGCTTTCCAGGACACAGACTCCAGGAACAGTCTAGTCCAAAGCAAAAGCCAACAGAGAAGAGGGGCCAGAATCCAGAGGCCATCACTAGCAGAGGCTTCCTGAAGAAATGCCAGCCACCCTATCTGCATGCCCAGCCTAGGCCCTGGCTTAGAAGCAAGGCCAGCCCCAGGGCAAGAGGCTAGATGTTTCTAAAATTCACTCACCCCTTGATTCTCCATTCAGAGTCCAGACCCTGCCCCGAGATGGAGTGAACGGGTCGGGGCAAGTGTCAAGACTGCTGAACCCTGAGCCTGACTGGTGCTCCACCCCTGGCAGAGTTTGGTTGTTCTTTAAGCTCACCCCTTTGTTCGCCCCAGGGCCAGACCAGGCAGTCCGCCACAGAGAAGGATGCGACCCGAAGTGACCCGAAGCACAGGGAAGGAAGGTCTGTTCAAAGGCAGTAAACAGAGACTGGGGTTGGGATGCCCATGCTAACACTGCACTGTCACTACTACCAAGGCGGGCAGGCAGACTAAGTCTACGTGGTAGCTCATGCCATCCCAACGCCCAGGAACCTTGGAGCCCACCCACTCCCTCAAGAGTCCACTCGGACTGGACAAATTTGCCCGATCCTCTGAACTGAAGTCATTCTTTGTTTCCGGTTTTGCTAAAATTCACGAGATTGAGTGTTGATGACAATGCCACTGTCGTACCTTGTTAAGTTTGGAGTCAGGGGAGGGGTGAAGGTTAAGTTGTTCCCCATCCTGCTTGTTTGCTCTTTGTGTATTCGTGCGGGGGGGTGGTGGGAGGGTCCACATGGTAAAGACGGTTTCCACGCTGGTTTCACAGTCAGGATTTCCCCTGGGAGTCTCAGAGTTTAGGAATGCTCACAGTGGCCCAGCCCAGGGTCTGAAATCCAACACCCAGGTACAGAGCAGCAGCAGTAGCAGTAGCAGCAGCAGCAGCAGCAGCAGCAGCAAAGCATCCTGCTCCAAGGACCTTGGGCTCTCCGTGGGTGTGCGCAATGAACGTGTTTCTGTACTTTGTTGCTAAAGAACTCCATTTAAAAAAAAGTCCCAGTGACAAGTTGTCAGGTTCAGACTGTGCTGTATTATGGTCAAAATATTCTTTGGCATCCATAGAATGATTCGACTGATTCACTGGACTTTTGCAAGGTTCTTGTTGGAGAAGTTCTGGCTTTACCAGTGGTGGAAGTGACCCAGGAGTAATTCGTTAAGAGGAAAAAAAAAAAAAAAAAGTTTTCACGGAATTCCTTTTATGTTTGTTCCCTGAGCTATCACCCTGGGGCCACTCCACGGAAAACTCTTCAGAGCAACTATCTGGGACCTAGAGGTCAGGAAAGGTGGGGTGAGGCAGGGTGGGGTGGGATGGGGGTACAAGGAACAGGATTAAGGCGCCAAGGGACACAGGTACAGGAGAACATCCAGCAAGACTTCAACCAGCCCCAGCAGGCCGACACTGGCCTGCTCTGGCCCCGGGATCCCACTGCTTGTTGGAAGGAGGTGTTTCCAAAAGGAAACCGAGGAAGAAGCTCATCTTTAGCAGGACTAAGAAACTTGAAAAGGCAAACGGTCTGGTCTGGCCAGCTCCACGTGGGAGTGACCAGACTTTAGCCGAGACTGGCCCCGAAGGAAGGAAGTTGGAGCCCCAGAGTGATTCTCTGCAGTGGGCTGGTCTGAGCCCCACGCCCCTGGCTGGGCACTGGCCCTCCCTTGGAGCCCTCCACCGGCACTGGTGGCTGGCTGTTTGGGAGTCCCCTGAGTAAATGAACAGCTCAGGAAGGATTCTGGGAACCCCTTCCCAGAGCTGCTGGGCTGGGCACTGGCAGGGGCAGAGCAGCAAGGGAGGGGAGGGTGGTGGGGTAGGCGGGCAGGCCTCAGATGATGTGGGTTGGTCAGGAACCAGTGGGCCCCCTGCGCCCCCTCAGTGCTTTCTCTTATAAACTCGTTGTGCTTGTGACAGTGAGTAGACTCTGGCTGGGTTATCATTTATTATACTTCCTTGGGGATCAGTGGAGTGCAGCAGGACCCCCCCCCTTATGGGCCCCAGTGTGATCTGGGGGCAAGGTGGGGAAGGCCCTGGGCTGGCCCATCTGCCATGAAATAATGCCCAAACGACAGTCTGTCACCCAGTGGCAGCGGGCTTGAGTCCTGAGCGCTTCTTCACCTTGCCTACATCTAACCAGAAGCCCAGCAATGCTGCGTGGGCCGGGACAGAGGTGGCACACAGGACCTGGTATGGTCCTTGTGGCCAGAGATATGGAAGGAATCCTAATGTCCTAGGCCAGCACAGAGGAAAGACAACAGTGTGGAATTCAAAACTCTCTATATTAAAAATAAAACCACAACAGAGTGGCAGCCTCAAGGGTCTGGGACACTCAGCAGAGATTGGAAATGGCAGTTGTGACTGGGCTGAGGCCTTATAGGGACCAGGGCAGGACCTGGGACAGGGGTAGGGTGAATTAGGAGGCCAGTACACCCATGCGGACCACCTCCTCAGCCCCTGCCTCTCGGGAACCCCGCTGTACCCCGCTGTCGTCGGCCTCTACATCCGAGTCGCTCATCTCCCCATCAGAGAAGTAGCCATCAGTCTCAGTGTCAAAGTGTAGGCTGACCTTTGGCCTCTCGGCCACAGCAGAAGGCGGTCCTGTCCCAGCATCAGGCCTGGCACCCAGTGATCTCCGGGTGGCTTTGCTCTCACGGGGTGGCCGGAGCCGACCCAAGGGCTTGGGGCTCACCGTAGGGCCAGGCACTTGCACATTCGAGTCAGCAGCCATTGGGACTGCCTCGTCTGGGGTCTCAGGAGCCAGTGGAGGGGGGCTTTTGGGGGCCGCTGGGATGGGACAGTCCCCAGCTGTAGGGCTGGACGGCAAGTGAGAAGACGTCCGCCGTGGTGGTTTCCTGGCAGGTGGCCCCTGCCCACCCTTGCCACTGCCTGCCTCCTGGCCCCAGGGCTTCTTGGGGGCTTTGTCTGGAGTTGTCCGCGAACCATCCTGCAGCGGTGGTGGTTTCTTCTTGGCAGGCAGGCGGGTGCGGGCCCGGGCTTTCCTGGCAGGGTCGCCAGGTCGCAGGGAGGGGTCYCGCATGAAGCTGAGCAGCGTCTCCTCGTCCTGCAGCAGCTCTTCTGACAGCAGCCCCGGAACGGGGTCCTCACGGTGCCCGTTGTTCAGTGACCACTCACTCATGGCCATGTCCTCTGCTGTGATCTGCACTGACTGTGCCAGCCAGCTGTTGAAGAAGGTGCCGTCGATGGGGAATGAGGTGGACAGCCCTGACCAAGGGAGAGAGAGGGAAGGTGAGATGAAGCGAGGGCATGTCCTGCCCTTTCAGGAGCCCTTGCCCACCCTCCTTCACGACTGACCCAGGTGAGCTATCCCATTGGGCCCATCCCTCGCCACCACTTTCTCCCGAGAAAGACAGCCTACTCCCAGAGTTGGCTTTATAAATTTTGGAGTAGAAATGGTACTTGCCCAAATCGCTAAGAATCTCAAGGTGGCAAAAGCAAAGAATAAACCAATGACAGCGGCCCTGTTTAATCAGGTTTTCAGGGAAGGAAGAACGGAGAAAAACGACCTCTAGCCACCAGGGGGCGCTGCCTCACCATGTGGGTTCTCTCCGAGCGCTAGCAGCAAAACACCCAGCACAATCAGGGTAGGAAGGTATCAGGGCCTCCCTTTAGAGATCACTCAAGTGTCCCCATCTTGATGTGCAGGGACATAAAAGATGACCTGGGGCTTCTGTGCTGAGGTGAGGTCTGGAAGGGATCTCTACCCTGCTGTCTGAGAAGAACTCTTAAGTGTGTGACATCCCAGAGTCAGAGCCCGTGAGGGCTGCTCCGCCCAATGGGGCAGGAAGAAGGCCTGTGACATAAAGGCAGACTGCCACTCCTCTGGATCTCTCTGGGTTCCATTAAGGTTCCATTAAGGTTTGCTGGAGTTGAAGGATGAGACCATTTAAGGGATAGGCAGGAAGAGAAGGGGGCGAGGATTTCCGGCAATTCTCCCTGCTTAGCCTGGTGCTGGCCTATGGCCCTCTGTGACAATCTAGCACCCTGGACCTGAGTTCCACAGCCTCCATCCACATCTACAGAAGGGGAATTTCTCAGGATGTCAGGTGGGGCCCTGAGACCCATCATCTCCTTTGTGGCTAGAAGTTGTAAGYACCTGGCCTTATGTGGGAGTATGGCTGCAAGCAGGTGACAGTGTGAGCTTGTGTCTGTGGGGTCAGTGTGGCCCCTCACTCACCCAGCTGCCCCAGCACGGAGTCTGGCCCAGCCTTCACTTTCTCTTTCTTCTCAGGGCTACTGCCCTTAGGGCCTTCGTGACCTTTCTTCTTTGAGTCGCTCTTCTTGCCCTTTGCTCTCCTCCCAGACCGCTCTGTGTCAGGAAAAGTGAGAGGAAGGAGATGATTACACCAGGTAGCCTTGGTCTGGACCACCATCACTGAGTGGTAGCTTAAGAATCATCAGCCCATGCACAGCCTCCACTGCACCCAGGTCAAAGCCAGGGGCTTGTGAGCACTGTCAGGGGAAAGCTGCTGTGGGACCAAGGGCTAACTGAACACTGCTGCCATTTGGGGTCTTGAGGAGGGCACGAAGCCAAGAGGAAAGGCTCTTGCAGAATGTTAACTTCAGTCTGATCTGAACAACTTAAACCTTGGGAGAGTCCTGGACAGTGGGAAGGACGGCTGGACACAAGGGTGGAAAGAACATCATGTGAGGGGCAAGAGGCTTGGATTCCAGTCCTAACAATCCGGTCAGCCCCCTTGAGCAAGTCTCCTGCCTTGATCCCTGGTCTGCATCTGAGGTCAGGCAGCAGATGGGAGATTCAGGCTGCACACCTGGCTCTCTTTATCTTTTCAGTCCATGATCACCTTGCAAGTCTAGGGGAAGAACATGGAGGAAGGGCGGAACTGCCCTGAATCCTCCTAGCTTCTTGGCCACAGGCAGGATGGATTGCTGCCCAAGGTTCAGAGAAAGTGGAGGGATGTGGCCCCAACTCTTCTGCTGGTTCCCAGAGCAACCTCAGGCCTCAGTCTCCTCACCTGTAACATGGACCCCATGCCTGACACTTTGCAGGAGGCTCTCCACTGCCCTTGGACAGTTGAGACTCCTTCCCCTAGACCACAAGACCTGCCTATCTCACTCTGGCTAGCCCACAGCCTCGTCTGAGGTACCTCCTTTCCCCAATCTGCAGTCACGTCAGAGTCATTCCAGGTTCTCTACCAACACAGGTTCTGGCCTCAGTCTCCAAATATGCTACTTACTTGTCTTGTCCTTCACCCAGTTCAGATCCAGGCCTCCACTGGGAGGCCCTCCCAGCCTACAGGGACAGATAGGACTCAGCAACTTATGTCCCACCCTGGAGGTCATGGGTCACAAATGTCACACTAGTATGGGTATCAACTTCAGGCAGGGGCAAACCAGTCTTCTGTCCAAATGTCCTGCCTTGAACAAAGCTGCCTATTACCAGGAGAAGAAGCTGTTATAAATGTCCCCAGACCCAAGGACCCAAGGAGGGATGCAAACTTTCCAGTTTCTTGTTTTCTTTCTTTTCTTTTCTTTTTGGTAGTGGGGGTTGAACCCGGGACACTTTACCAGTGAACTACATCCCCACCCCTTTTTGAATTTTTACTTTTTTTTGAGATAGGGTCTCATTAGGCTGATCTCAAACTTATAATCCTCTTGCCTCAGTCTCCTGAGTAACTGGGATTACAGGTTTGTATCCTGGCCAGACCCTCCAGTTTCTAGGATCCTATGCCCCAGGGCACTGTCCCTGCCTTGCCAACCTCAGCTTCTTTGGCTGTGGGAGTCTTGTGTGGGTGTCTTTGCAGCCAGATGTGTGGCCATAGTCAAGTGCTAGGGAGTATCAGTGTCACCACTGATACCTCTGTCCCTATACTGCCACTGACTACAGCTTTGGGATACCGTTATCTTTTCTCCAGATGGTAAGGCCTATGGGGACAGGAACCCTGGGCTTCTGAATGATTAAAGAGAAGACAAGGAGCCTGGAAGGAGGCTACCAGCCAGCCTTTGTTCACAGTGAGCTCAGCATGGCATGACCCGCCCTGACCCAGCACCTGGAGCTGTCGATGGCAGTTTCTTAAGCCAGAGTGGGTGGCGATCCCAAAGCACACGGAGGCAACTCAGCTTTTGGCAGGGATGTGGGGAGGACCAGTGCTCAGTCGCCTGCTCAGAGGGTAGCCTAGCAGCTCCCCTCCCTCCTCTTCACTCTGGGCCCAGCCTGACCTTAAGGCTGAGCTGGCAGTGGCAGCCGGTGGCTGGCTCAAAAATCTCTCTCCACTCAGCTATTTCTGCTGTGTGCGAGTTCAACGTTAGGGCACAACTGCTTTAGGTTAAGCCCTGCCCTTCTTAACACGTCCACACTCCAAGAAGGGCCCCACGTCTGGCAATGTCCACAATTAACCCATAAGATCAAGGTCAAAGCTTCTTTGCTTTCCAGAGCTGTTTGATACATGCAACARAATACAGAATAAGAAGGCAACAGGGAAAATGCTGCTAACTAACACAGGGCCTGAATCTGGTCTCATGGCGTCAGAAAGAAGGAATACAAGGGCTCTGACCCAGCTCAGCTGCCTTTCTTGTACTGACTCCCAGGAACATGGGGGTTCAAAGAAGCTCACAAGTTTCCTGCTTGTCCTGCCTCACTTCAGCAGAGAGCTCCTAGGACTTTGGGTTTGTACCTGCTGCTAAGCTGAGGTGACTCAGTGAAACAGTAAAGCCCCCAGGGGGCAGGTCTTGTGCCCACATTTTAAACTCTGGCTCCTTGCCCACCACTACAAGCTGGACCTTGGCAAGGACCTCTCTGGGCCTAGTAACTGGATGCTGGAAAGAGAGGGGCTGATGCCCCTGGCTTTACACACATGCCCCCCAAACACACCCTCCTTGGGATCCAGCCCTGCACCCGAGTGCACACAGAGGTGGCGGGTGGCCAACAGAGAGGCTCCTACCTCGACACAGATCCTGTTCAATAAGTTTCATCTGCAGGTGGAATATCTGCTCCTGGAGCTTGCAGATGGCGTGTTTTGTTCTCTCGCGCCTTGTCACCATGTAGCACAGATTTCTAACCTGAGGAAACACAAGAGAGATCTCCCACTTTACTCATAGCAACCACCCCAGATCTCTGACATCTGGGGGTCACTGCTGAATAAGGAAGCACCTGGGATAGAGGTTACTGCTGCTGCCTACCCTGCACAGGACATCTGGAAATCAATTCCCATCCAGTGAGTGCATCCCCGGCCATGTGATCCAGAATATGGAGTCAAGAGGAGCCTAGGCCCTAGGGCCCTGGCTGAGCCAGAGCCAGCAGGGGCTGCCTGGTTAGCTCAGCCCAGCAACTGTACCTTCCTCCCCTGGTCTTAACCTTCAGGCCTAGGGCTTGGGATGTGGTTTAGTGCTAGAGCACTTGCCTAGCATGTGCAAGGGCTGGGTTCTATCCCTAGCAATGCAAAAAAACCACCACCACCACCAACAACAACAATAACAACAACAACAAAACACATAAAGAAATGAACTTCATGGGGCTGGGGATGTGGCTCAAGCGGTAGTGCGCTCGCCTGGCATGCGTGCGGCCCGKGTTCAATCCTCAGCACCACATACCAACAAAGATGTTGTGTCTGCCGAGAACTAAAAAATAAATATTGAAAATTCTCTCTCTCTCTCTCCTCTCTCACTCTCTCTTAAAAAAAAAAAAAAAAAGAAATGAACTTCTTGGGCTGGGGTTGTGGCTCAGTGGTAGAGCACTTGCCTAGCATGTGTGAGGCCCTGGGTTCCATCCTCAGTGCTACATAAAAATAAATAAAATTAAGATATTGTGTCCAACTACAACTAAAAGAAAAATATATTAAAAAATTTTTTTAAAAGATTAAAAAAAAAAAAAAAGAAATTAACTTCTAGGCTGAGCCAGCCATTCTGTCTCCCAAGGCCCTTCCAACATGGTTGTTCTCCTTTAAGTCCACAGTGACCCAAGGCTCATCAGGGCCTCTCCAGGTAAGTCAAGTTTATCCTTCACCTCCCGTCCAAGGCCTGCCTTTCCCAGCAAAGAAACTCCTCAGACACAAGGACTGTGGCAGACACCAATACTTGTCTTGAGGCACACATGGCCCTATAAATTTGGAGCTAGAGATTAGGCAGAATGGCTTTGAAAGCAGACAGGCAGTCCTAACCCACCTGTGCCCAGCTTGCAGCTGCCCCACATCTACCTGCTGCACTGGGACCCGAGCCAGGTCTGTGCTACTCTGACCAAGGCTCCCACACCCACATGGCCATAGTCACTCAGCCATGTGGCAGACTTCCGTAGCAGAAAGTTGCAGTGGTCTCTCTGACTTCCTTAGGCCAGCTGGGAAGAGTCCCTAAAGGGCTTTGAAGGCATCCTACTTATTAGCCCATGGGACATGGACACATCCTTCAGGTGGTCTGGAAGCACATGAAAGATGGACCACATCACACTTGCCCTCTTGGCACCTCACCCAGCTTGCCACCGTCACTCACTAGCTGCTCTCTCACAACTTCCTGGGGCACAGATTTGGGTTCCACCCCCATGAGACCCTTCCATGGTCTGCCATCACCTTCTGCTCAGAATGGAGTCTCCAAGGAGCAATGGCAGTGGCAAAGCTGCTCAGCTAAGTCCTGGGTCCTAGCTGGGTTTGTCCTCTTCAAGGCAGAGGTCAATCTGATTCTGAACCCCTGTTTGTTTGGCATGACCACCACTTCTCTGGGGCCTGAGGGTAGCTGTGATCAGACTTCTCTGTGGGGTCTAAGCATCCCTCTTTCCCTCCTGAGCCTAGTCATGAAGGAGATCCTAGAACAAGGCTTGCACTAGTTCCAAGCCTCTGCAGGACGGGCTCTGTAAGGACTTTCCATGGCATTATAAGGTGGTGTGTCCATCCCCAGCCTACACCATGAATACCAGATCTTGTGGAGTGGAGCCCCAGGTCTACTATTCACATGGCCACCACCTCCTTAAGGGACAGCCTGGGGCTGCAACTACTTAGGAATAGCCTGTAAGTTCTTCTCTCTGGAGTCCTGGCATGGCCTGCCTTCTTCAAATCCTGAGCTTCCTCAGGACCGCATTCTAGCCAAAATCCTCCCCATAGCCCTAAGTACCAGCTAAAGCTCTTCTTTCTTGTGTGGGGCCCTGGGCTTTGTAGTTAGCAATGCCATGGGGAGTCCCTTTCTTCCTAGGGCCTGCCACCCAGGAGGGCAGATAAATGCTGACCAAGTGTCAGAGAGCCCTGACCCAGAGCTGGGGAGAGGAGCCAGGCTTCCTGGAAAAAGGGACAGCTAGGCCTAGCAGAAGTTGATCACATACATCCTGGAGACAAGGGATCCACAGTAAGGCCAATCAGTGAAGGGGCATGGCCAGGCCCAGCATCAAGGGAGCATTGAGGACAGGCAAGACCAGAAGGGGGAAGGGCAGGCTCTGAGCTCTGACTGAGCCAGGCCAAGGGAGGCTGTGGAGGGATTCTGCAGAGGGGTGAGCTGAAACCTCAGAGTCATCCTGGATGACCTGCTCTCTTCATCTGCACCCATCACCCCCCATCAGTTATATCCATCGTCTTTCCTTGTGACCCTAAGTCCCTATAGCTCCTAATCCTCCCTCATCACCTATCATGTGGATAAGAAGCCATCAGACTCATCTGCTATCCCATAGAAATCTTGAAACAAAATCAGACCACTTCCTCTTTCCCTTACAACCTCCCAGGGCTTCTATACCAGGTGGAATGGTGTCCCCCCAAATTCATGTCTGCCGGGAACCTCAGAATGGGCTTTCTCTGAAACTGGGTCTCTGTGGTTGTCATTGGTTAAGATGAGGCCACACTGAATTAAGATGGGCCCTTAATCTGACTGATGCCCTTATAAAAGACCATGTGGCGATACAGGGACATAGAGACAGTCAGGGAGACTATGGCATGAGAGTAGAGGCACAGACTGCAGTGATGCACCCAGGAGTCCAGCAATTCCAAGGCTTCCCAGGACCTCCAGAAGCTAGGAGGGGAGAGTGGAACAGACTCTCCCTGGAGCCTGCAGGAGGAACCAGCCCACTGACACTTTGACTTTGGACTTCCAGCCTCCAGAACCGTGAGGACAAATTTCTGTTGCTTTAAAGTCATCTAGCTGATGCTACCTCGATGGACAAACCTAGGATACAAACAGAACTTCCCTCATGTCTCATCTCATGGCTTATGTCCCACAGCCTAGCAGGTCTCTTCTCTCCCTGTCCTGCCCACTTGCACTCTGGGACCCTGGTACACATTCACCCTTGGCCTGGGAGGCTCATCATCCACCTGCTCATGGCTGGCCCCTGTCCTTTAGCTTTGGGCTCAAATTCACCTCCAGAAGGTCATCCCTGGCTCGAGCATCTAAGCAACCCAATATWATTCTCCTTCTCACAGCCTGGCCCATTCCTCTCTAATAGCCATATGGACTCGGAGGTGAGGGGGTAGACTTGGAAAGGGAAATGGATCATGGTTATTTTGTTGTTCCCAGCCCAATCAGGGCTATTTTGGAACTTAAAATATAAGCCAGTCATATCTAATCTAAAGAGAAATTCATCAAGGTCTAACTTTCAAAACATTTCTAGAACATGCCACCCTGGAGTTTAATCCACCCTTAGACCTAACATCCAAAGGTGAGGAACCAGATGAAGTAAGGTCCTATGTTGCAATTCCCCCCCCCCCCAAATCACTGAGGGCTATACTTGATTTCCTTGTAAGATGTAGATATAGTTTGTCTCTGATCTGAAACTYTTTTTATTTATTTATCTATTTATTCATTCATTTATTTATTTATTATTGATATCAGCAGTACAGGGAATTGAACTCAGGGCCTCACGCATGCTAAGCAAATGCTCAACCACTCAACCACAGCCACATTCCCTTCTGAAACTCTATAAAAGCAAGGCTTCTCAAGACAAGCCCAGGGGGCTGGGGATATGGCTCGAGCGGTAGCGCACTCGCCTGGCATGCGTGCGGCCCGGGTTCGATCCTCAGCACCACATACAAACAAAGATGTTATGTCCGCCGAAAACTAAAAAATAAATATTATCTCTCACTCTCTCTTAAAGAAAAAAAGACAAGCCCGAATGAATCCCTGGCATCAAAGTCACTGCAGTGGGTAGTGGATTCTTAGGCTTAGGGGACACCTAACTCTAGGGGTGAAGCCTTAAATACACATTTTAGACAGAACTGCAGACTCAGAGAACTACTTGCCTCAGGTCAGGGCCCATCTATAGTGAAGTGCATAGGAAACGAGTTAAACAATGCACTGTGGCATGGGAGAAAAGATAGCAGAACTTCTGCTGGTGTTTTATTATTATTTTTGGAACCTATTAAAAAGTCTGGTTACGTTTATTCTATAATACGCAGTGGTAGCGAAGAATGAGATACTTAAAATACACATCCTGCAGTATCAGCTCAAACTCTTTTACTGATAAAGACCAAACTGCCTGGGGATTCAACTCCAGAGACAAGAATGCTTCCTTCTGTAGAATCCCAATGTTCTTTGATTGGTACTTTGGTCACACTTTGACCACCAGATCCACTAGTTGAAGGGGGCTTACAGAGATGGATCCTTTAACATCTACTTCACCCTGAAATTACCTATTAGTTTTCTAATTTCTTTTTTTAAAAGACATTTTATCAGYTGTTGGTGGCCCTTTATTTTTATGTGGTGCTGAGAATTGAACCCAGTGCCTCACACATGCTAGGCAAGCGCTCTACCACTGAGCCACAACCCCAGCCCCTAGTTTTCTAATTTCTTAGTAACACAATAATCTCAGTAACATGACAACATTTTACTGCATGTAAATACTGAATTCCTTTATCCTATGGCTTCTGGGAGACGAAGTATTATCTCACTTTAGAAGCTCKCATAGACCCATAGGCTCCTTACACTGTCATTTTTTTTTCTTACTATAAAGTTAAAACATTCTCATTTTAAAGATAGCAGTGCAAAAATGAATCAAGAAGAAAACTAGGAAAGTTCCCATAACTAGGGCAGGGAGTGGTAATAAACACAAGTTTTATTGTTTTTTTTTTTTTTTGCTACTAGGGATTGAATTGAGGAGC